AGTGACGGAAGTTGTAATGTGCAGCATTGGGTTTCCGGATTAGCCTTCCAAGTTTCACATGCCGTAATTTCTCTTCTTATGATGTGTATTACTTATTTTTCACTATAATGAGCAATTTGGAAGAAATCAATTTCCAGCCAGTCGCGGGCCTTGGTTCGAGATGAAATTGAGGGCAATCTCGCTGGGCTCCTGACGCTCTACTATCAACACCACACCTGCCGCCTTCTTCTGCACATGCACATCATGCCTTTGCGGACTACCACACTCCTGACAACGATAACACTGTCACCGCAAGATACCTCGACCGATCCTGCGGTCTTCCAACAGTCGAAAACTCTCCGACCTCGCCGCTCCTGTCTTCTCGTCCGATCTCATTGAGCCTCAACTCGTCTCATCCGCTTATGCAACTTTCTCCACCAGCTCTTCAAACCTCTCCTCCAGCTCTTTGAAGCCTGCTGCATCGTTCCGTTTGTCTTCGAAACCACGAGCCGAGATCGGCGGGTCGAAGGGTGGCTGTGGTGACGGTCTCCAAGCGAAATACACTATGAAGCCGATGCAGCAGAGTATACAAACAAGCCAGAACAGCCAGAGCAAGTCGAGGCATATTTTTTGGACGGACACTAAGACGAGTGGTATTAGTAGGAGTCGGACGAAAGCAGAAGATGATGAGACAGAATTGATAGATGGAAAAATCAAATCAAGGTGAACGTACCGGCTTTTTTTATCCCGTTTAGGTCGTGATGTCTTTCTTGGCCATCGTCGTCCCTTTCCGATGAACCGGAATCGGTGGATGCGGTGAACTGGGTGGAGCCGATGGAGATGAAGGAGTCTGTATCGTGAGGTTCGAGAGATGCAGGCGGGGGATCTGTTTGTGGGTGCATTGGGTGTTGTTGAAGATGAGTAGGAGAGGGATTGTACTTTGGTGATGGGGCAAAGCGGACCTTCGCCTTTCGGACTGGTGGTGGCTCAGCGATGTACTTTGTTGGATTTTGGAAGGGGCTATCAGGGTCTCGTACGCGGAATAGGCCTGTGCTGGTTTGTGATGTGGTAAGGCGAAATTTGAATCCGTCGGAGGTTTTCAGGTCGGTTGGAAAGGTCATGTTTATACGATTGTGATAGGGGAGCGTTTGAAAATTCTTGGGGGTGTTAAAGCCGATGGAATAATAACTTGAAAGAGTAGCACTCAGACGAGATTGGGGCTATACATCTGTCTGGTTGATTACGGAAGCAGCTGTGGTTTCAAAGAGGGATAGGCATTGTGGATTAGGACATTGATAATGCATGCTAGCAACTCCCATTCATATTTCTGTCTTGCCCCATATAGACGGCCATGCGGCTCTTCAAGCCAGGTTGTAGACATGTTCCAGAACGAACAAGCCGTAAACCCTCTGTGCTCCTCGCCGGTCGTGCGCTCCACTCCCGTCCCATCACCGTTCATCACCAATCCGACCCCAATGCTCCTCCTTGCTCTCGAAAATCGAAACGTTTGAAGAATCTGCTCACATCTCAAGCCGCGCCAGCCGGTTGCAACTGTAGCGAAATCACTATAATGTCGTTACATACGTCGAGTTTGGTAGCAGCCGTTTCTGTTGATTGTTCAGAGAGCAGGGATAGCGTAAACATCAACAACGGAGACGAGAGCCATCAAAAATGTCCGCTTTGAGGTAGGAGGTATTTTGGGAGAGCCGATTTCGGGAGAGCCAATTTCGAGAGAACTTGGTCCTGTGACAATTTACAACGATGTCCTCGATAACAAAAAACATCACTAGATGTTGAGGTGCCTGGCTTCTTGCACTATAGACATAAAATAGCAGTAATACGTACATCATTAACAATGTTGATCACAGCATCCATAAACCACCCAACAATCCCGAAACCACTGTCAACCCTACCATGATTATAAGGCTTTCCACTCCAACCATCACCTCTCCAGCCCCAGAACCAGCATCAGAAGTTTTCGTCGCTGCAGCGGCCGCAGCAGCCGCAGCCGTCCCACTGACAGTACTATTCGCCGTCACACTCGAGTTAACACCCTCCCTCCCATTTCCACCAACAACCACAATACTCTCCCACGCCCCCGTCGTTCCATTATACCAATAACTCTTCCCCGGCTCAGAATTCGTAATCCGCACACTCTTCACAATCACCGTGAACGGCCCGTTGCTGTAATCAGTCTTCCCACCGGCCCACGCAATCGTGCCCTCGCTGTTATCACTATCGCCACCGGCCCAGATGCCAAGTTTGAGGCGCATCGGCGTTTGCGGGTAGTTGGTGCCGGAGACGGCGTCAGCATAGTGTAAGGTGCGCACCGGAACAGAATCGATGAGCCAGACTGTGCTGCTAGAGGTCCAGTTCACAGTATAGGTGTGGTAGGTTGATTGAGGGGTGGTAACAGGGTAGTAGATTGCGCGATCGTAAGTAGTTGTATTACCTTTTCCGAAGTAATTGGTCTCCACCGATGTCGTATTGCCACCCAGGAGCTCCTGCGTATTGTGAATTAGTAGCCGGAAATTGGGTCAGGTGATCATCACCGTTTCCGGAGAGTAATGGGAAAAGAAAGAAGGAAATGAACCCCATACCCAATCAATCTCGTCCAAATCATCACTCTCCATAACCACACTACTCACAATCCCGGTCCCACTCGCTGCCTGCATCACCACCTCGACCTCGCCAAAAAAGAAATAAAAATCGGTCTCTATGGTCGGTGCATCCCCCTTTTCCTTAACCACAAACTCCGCGCCGGAAGATGTGTAGGTAATACTACCGGCGGTGGCGCTCCAGCTACTATTGGAGAAGAAGGTTGAGCTGGTGCTGAAGTTGGAGGCAAAGGTAGTGCTGGAGATGCCGGAGTCATGCGGGCAAGTTGCTGAGAGTGGGGTTAGTTGGATGGGGTTGGGGAGGGAAATGGGAGGGTACTGTTTGTGGTGGGGTTGCATGTTGTTGTTGTTTGGGCGGACGTGAGGATGAGGAAAGATGTAAGAATGGCGAGGAGAGTGAGGCTGGAAGTGTGCATGAGGATGTTTGTATCAATGATGGGGGGTGGGCCTTTTAAAAGGAGAGAAAGACAGAAGAATATTCGTATAATGAAACGAAGGTGACAATTTGTAACTATAGCAGCTGCCTGAGATGTGTAGAAGATTTGAAGGAACAGAGCGATCGAATGCCTCGAGGAATCTAAGATCCCATTATAAAACAACGAAAAAAAAAATTCTATACGCAGATTAAACGTGGCCAGTTTCAAAGCCGACGACGCTTTAATGGTCCACTTGTCTTGCGTAATGTTTCATCCATAAAATGGCTCGGACTAAAGTAAGACAACACAGATGTATGCAGGTACAAAAGCTTGATTAAGCTAGAGTGAATCTACTCGTATAAATCGTACTCTGAGGTAGAAATGTTGCTGCGGATTCATAATGTTCGGAGAGGTTGCGTGGCGAGTGGGTCTCGGCGTCGTAATTGGTGTTTGGAATGAGTGACAGGGGTAGTGATGGAAGGGGTCAACCCGTGAGTACTATATGTATTGCGTGTGGAGATATCGTAATATTTTGATGCTAATTCGTAAGATCGAAATGGTATTCGATCGGATGCCGGTTACGTTACTTGTGAGTTGTGTGGGTGACATAGGTTCCTAATTTAGGGCTAGCGTCGCTGTATATTTTGATACCAGGGTAGTTGTGTGAACTGAATTGACTAGAATTAAGAGTGTATTATTTTTCATTGTCCTAAATCAAGCTGAAGAACTTTAACATGGTACCTGAAGCTTAATTGATGAAGGTTTAAGTGGTGTCCTTCATCGACCGGAATTTAACAAGCAACGGAACTGGCGTATTGGCACCTTCGATCGCACGCACGGCCGCGGCGCCTCTATCTATACCTCATTGTAGTAGCGTTGAAGCAGAAGAAGATAATTGGCCGTGTCCTCAGAGAGGATAAATAAAAATGCGAGTTGGGTCAAAGAGTTCTTCAGGTCTGTCCCAGAGCTAGTCAGCATCACCGACCGAAATACTATTTTCAACCTCTACACTGGTCTTCTAGTTAGTTGGACTGCTGCGCAGTACTAAGCCTTTTGAGAGACGAAACCTGGTATCAAGAAGCTTCTCGTACAGTTGCAAACTGGAGTAGAGACTGGAGAAATTAAAACCGGGAGCTTGACGTAGAGTTAAAAAGGGGTCCAGAGTTGAAGCTTGCCCCAGAGCCGCATCATCTATTATGGATTTAGAATCATGGGGTATGGTTAAGTCTATTGGATAGAATTACATTCTACACTCCAAGTAGCGGTAGAGTACTCCGCTGAATTTGGTGGCTTCCACTGCCTTGAAGGTATACTCTGTAGTTCTCTTTACCCAGCTGGACCTCAGAATAGTACGTTGTTAGTAGGAGGCATCCTCAGCCGAACGCTCGTTCATACACTTAATAGAACCTGTAGTCTATAGCTGTTCCGGTACGACACCTTGTGATGTTGAAGGTTCCGCCATGTGGGCGCCGAGTGGTTTCGGATCAGAGTCGAAATTAGAGGCAAGGACTGGTGGAGGGAAGCTGATAGGAGATGAATATCGATCTGTCTGTTGCCGTAGGTTAAAATGAGTTAGCACATACTTGATATCAGGGGTTCATTCTTGGGGTTGAGAGCTTACTTCCCCAACGCTCTCGAAGGTGTGGAGTGGACAAGTACGTCAATTATTACGAAGCCAAGTGGCGGTAGGAAAAAAAATGGTACAAAACATGTTACCTTCGAAAATATACATCGACATTTGGAGCGTCAATTTTACTGTCCTCTTATATAGGCAAAATTGCTTAGTGAACTTCGAAACGTCTTAGACGCATGCTAAGCGGTATACCCCAAAATCGGGGTGGCTAACTTCAAGGCGCTACAGAAGTAGCTTCGTATGCCACTTTTTCCCGCTCTGCAAGGAGGCGGCTATATTATCTAGTTCTTTCAAGATAATATATTGAATTGAAAATTTGGAATTTGGAGATTATATTAGGCCAAAAAATAATTTTTCCGTCGCCGGGAGTCGAACCCGGCTCTGATCGGCTCCAAACATGAAAGCGATCGATGCTAGCCGATACACCACGACGGATTTGATGGGAAAGGCCCATTATTTTCCAATATATGTACTTTAATAAAATTTTAAAATTCATTAACGAAGCAGCTTAACTGACAAGGGTAGAGACCAACCAGATTGAGTCTAACGGAGGCTGTGATAGTTTGTTTTAACTTATCCAAGCCTCACATGATTAGCCGAACACCATGTGACACCGCGCAAGAACCTTGGGTAGCTTCGCGATCCGACTCCGCGTCCCCACCACCCTAATCATTACAACGATAAAGTTCTCTCGTATCATTTATGACGGCTCGTCAAACTCAAAGATCATCTCTCTTGATACCTCAGGATGTGGCTAGCTCACCTCCCTCTTCCGCCGAAGCAACATCTGCGGCTTCACCAGCTCCTGAACCCATCAGGACTTTTACCGCCCCCACGAAACCGAGAACTTTCTTCTATCGTCCTATCAAGCCGCTGACATACGAATTAAGAAATCATTCAACTGTATATTTAGAAGATGGACAATGCGAGTGATCTTGGTGACTTCAACTTGCTCGATGCTAATTCTCTTTAGATGTCGAAGCCTTCGCCTTCCTCAACAACCTCCTCGTCTCCGCCACCTCCACTTCGACGCCAGACCGTCCTCATCAAGCATTCATACCTCCCCCTCAACACCTCGCACTTGCCTCAACACTCATAGTTTATCCGCCGGTCACGACAAAGGCTAAGTCGCTTGAACGACAGTATGCCTCGAATGCAGCCCTAAGATACCTGCGAAACGTCTGCAAGACCGTTGACCCCTTGAGCGAGAACCTTCTTGTAGCATTCACATTTTCAGGTCCAGGATCAACACGTCGGGGCGGAAGACATTGGGGCGCAGAGCCGGAGTCTCCGGACAGCGATGATGGAGAACGCACAATCAAGAGCAACGTTGCCAATGCATCGTCTTTATACCAGAGAGCCGAGGATTTCTGGCAGATAGTGGGTTGGGCGTTTAATTGCTCTTTGTGTTGGAAGAAAAGGTGGGAAAGGTGGAGATTATGGTTGGAACTAATGCTGGACTTCCTGGAGGCCGACTGGCATGAAAGATCGCGGTTAAGCATGGAGGAGGGTGCGGACGTGGAACAACTCTTTACCCAGAGTCTCATTTGGCAGTACACTGCATCACGGGATCCACAGAGCCGAGCCTCAAGACGTCGGATATTGCGTGCTATACTTGCCGACGGAAATGGTAAATCGTTGAAGGAATTTACCGAAGTGTTCAAGAATGAGACGAAGGAAGTAAAAATAGAAGAGGGTAATACAATCAAACATCGGAAGGTCCTAGATATTGAGAATGGTGAGTTTGGCGATTACGGCGTGGACGATGATGAGGATGCCATCATGGATGACGTTGATGTGAGGACCTCGAAACGGCTGGCGAGCAGAAGGGCTTTTGGAAAGTGGAGTTCTCCTAACTCTAGTAATGAGTCTATGAGTGAGGATGAAGACGAAATGAAGTCCGAAGAGTCTTCCAGTGCCGTGGATAGATTGGGCGGAATAGATGCTGTTGGATTACGGCAACGTCTCTTAGCTATTGTAAGGTTCTAGAGAACACTGTCTTATCCTAGCTAACATACTTTGCTAAGATTGCAGATGTTGCTCTTGCAGTACCTAAGCTATTTACAAACATCGAAGACCTTTTCGATCTCTACACCGAATTCTTCCGCCCTCTCCCTACTTCCACCTTCGGCTGTCTCCTCAGCACATCCAAGCTTCCATCGGCTGCCCAAATAATGCTCAACGTCAATCTACTACTACCTCTTCTAGCCAGCAATTTCCCAAGACACATAACTACCTTGCCAGCACAAGAACACCTAGAGCGGTACTTCCTGCCATTTCCAGCTATAAATCATAGCTATGCCGACAACGCTAAAATTAGTCTAATACTCGAGTCGATCTTAATGCAGATGATGGATAGCAACGCACTTGAGCCTACGGATGGCTTAAAAGCCGCCATTTTGGCGGGTGTGGCTGCACGGGAGAAGAAAGCTTGCGGAGATGCGAGGAGGAAGAAAGGAAGAGGAAATGAAGAGGACTGGGCGAAGGAGATTATGCAGATGAGTAAAGAGAGGTTGTTGGGATTACTGGATATTCTCGAACTGGGTGAGTGAAATTTATACTTTGAGTGACGCGGGAGGTTGTTTTCCACATGCTGTGTTGCGTCGCGGCAGTGCCTTGCTTTATCAAGCAACAGTTGCTTGATACGCTTACGCACCTGGTATAATGATGTCGTATTCCTTAGTGCTCTTCATTACATGTCATGTAAGCAGTTTCACGTTAGTTGACCAATTGTGCAGCCACAAGTCCCCCGTCTGGCTCCATGGACGACAATTCCAATCCGCAAATAGAAGGACAGTCTTCGCCTCTCTCTTCGGCAATCTCTATGCCTTCGGGGTCGCTCGAAGAAGAGGAGAACGACATGAAGAGTTAAATGACGGGGCTGTGTATGACAAACAAAGTTCTATACTAGCCTCTAAGCTAGGCAGTGAGGTGGGAGAGTACACTTCGGTTTATACCACAGCTGATGGGCAGGGCGTTGTAAGTGGTGCGATATTGACGAATTTTGTGGTATCTGTGCCTCTGGTTGTTGACGATTTACGATGTTGGGTAGTAGAAGGACTCAAGACTCTTACCTTGGAAGACCCTACGGATTGGAGCCTGAAGTTTGCTAGAGCCAGAAAGCAGAGGAGCCCGACGACTTCATCATGTTAAGCCTGCACCTAACATACTCAGCGGTCTGTATAGAGCATAGTAGTCATTGGAAACAAAATCCGAATCTTTGCCTTATGTCTTCGCTCTTTACGAGATTGAAGCAGGCGCTTTGATGCCGTCACCCTCTCAATGCAATCATTATATATTGAAATGACTCCTGGTTGATATCTGCCACACGGACAAGAATGACACTCCGAATTGACTTGGGACTTTAGTTCGGACCAGGCGTGAGCTTCACGACCAAGTCTGCACGGACCACCATACTTAATTCAAACATTCAGCCTCGTCCCCTCCTCTTCCCCTTCCCCTTCAGCCTTGTCCATATAATCTCTCCCCTGCATGACCCAAGCGACTGGCACTTTGTTACTGCCCGACATAGTTGGCACATCTCCGAGCCGCGAGGATGTACTTTCTTTCGGAGGTCTGGAAGCATCCGCCAGCAAAGACGACGCGTCCGGGGGCCCTTGTTAAAATATCAATAATTGGCCGACGTTCAGAAATGGGAATATATATTGAAGAGACCGTTTGAAGCCGGGTAGTTCGTTGAAGCAAGCAAGCGATAGAACAAGACCCTCAACGGTCGCATAAAGAGCGCCTTCAATTCAATCTACCAATCTCGAAGCCAAGCCTGCGCCCAATCATCATTGCCCACGAAGCAGTGCAGTTGAACCGTAAATCTGGAAACAAGAGACCTATTAAGAATTCTCCACTTGCCATAAACAAAGAGCAGCTGGGAATTGAAAATACGGGAGCGTGCTGGATATGCAAAATCAACCTTTTCTGACCTCTCCACGGAAATAGCGACCTGCCCGATCTTTGTTCAGCGGGTCAGGAACGGTCCGGATTCTGAGGCAATGGAGCGATGTAATGGCCCGAGGGCTTTCCCGATTAGTAGGACCGAAAACTTTGGACGAGCCTACCGCGAAACACTCGTTAGCATCATTTTATTCGACAATGAAACACAAGCAACCGCATTCGGAAAGGACCTCTTGCCATTCAAGACCAATTCAAGATGGAAACAGTGTCGTTGGAAATTCTCATCCCCCATTGCCAATGTTCGCCTCAGATTCTCCAACGCCGGTCTCGGTTTGGTCGACGCTTCTTTCGCACCATCCACCAGTATGAGACTGATCTACTTCGGCATTCACGTTGTGTCCGTTAACGCAAGGAGAGGTATGATCTGATAGGGAGCGTGGGTTGGAATCGGAGTCTGCCTTGGCTTGGGTTGAGGAATTGGGTTGAGTGAAGCCTGTATTCATAATGTTGTCAGTGTTGCTCTTCATTTGGACCAACCTTACTTACCAGTCTGAGGCGGAGAATCCGATAGCGTTGTGCTGGATCTCCAAAAAGAACCAGATCTATTCAAATGGACCGCCATTTCAATCATATCAACACTCTCGGGCGGTGACCGTAAATATCTCGTAAAGTCGTCGTTGTCCCTGGGGATGCCAAGTATGTCTGGCTGGCTTCGATGCGCGTTATGTACGGGTGGATCTCCTAGAGGCTCTGAAGTTAGCAATACCTACGGAGGCCGTGACTGTGTACCGGAGTAATAGGCGCATTGTCTCACCTTGCTGATCCATTTCCGTCGTCATACTTCTATATCATCAGTAATGGGGATATTCTCCCTGAAGTCTCATTGCTGACACCGATCATTCTTATAGTCGCGAATCAGCGCTGGCTCTGGTGTGGGCGATAAATACCCCTGAGCGATATCAACTGAGGCCCTGTCATCAGCTAACAAGCTCAGGGCTACAAAGCGATATGCAATTTTTGGAAATGTGGATATGAAATGAACGAAAAACCGGCTTCCACGGCGGCCAGAGCTCAACTAGAGTTTGAGGTCTGTTAAAACGATACGTGTTTCCTCACCATCCCTCAATAGGACAATGGCATTCACGAATTGTAGCCTTTGATGAACGCCGCAGTATGCACGTCGCAGGACCACCCTCGACGGCTCCCCCGGAATATCTTCTGTGATGCTGCAAAAGTATGGAGAAAGGGAGGCTAAGGGAGATAGCCGTGCATGACATGGATGTTTTGAATCTAAGGCGCGGCAGGACCAAGCGGCAGCGGAACCAAGGGGTGGCAGGTTGTCTGAAGCCAAGCTCCAAATCCTGCAAGAGCGGTAACTGACATCTCGGCGAGAGCGCCTCGGGATCAAAGTTTGTTGGGTCAAGGTACTCGAAGCCGCATGCACGATTTAAATGTCCGTGGCGGGATTCCCGAGTATATTTCCTTCCCCGCCGTGGCCTTCTCCTCCCTTCTCGCAAGGCTTAACC